AAATCACAACTCCAAAAGAGACCAATTTTTTGTTTGTTTGAAATGCTTGAATATTTAAGTTCCATATATTTCCATCATTATTCTTTTTGGTGGTCAAATCATCCCATCTTTTTCCAATGAGATCACCTTTTAACTAACTCATTTTTCTTTGGACATGACACAAGTAGATTTTGATTGTTTCCTGTCATATCTGACAAAATCAATAGTCCTGACTCATTTTACACATTTTCTATTTTAGACCTAGAATCATCCACGTGCCAAAGGAACCCTGATTCCTTACATTGGGAAACAGTACTTAGAAATCACAATCTGAGCACAATAGGTGATTACTGTGGTTGGCTGATCACTATTTCTAGGACTTTTCAGTAGATGATGGTGGTGGTGGTGATTATGTGCCATGGAGTCGGTTCTGACTCATAGCGACCCTGTATAGGGTTCCGAAGCTGTGAATTTTTACAGCAATAGAAAGCCCCATCTTTCTGCCACAGAACTGCTGGTAGTTTTGAACTGTTGACTGTGATATTAGTAACCCAACTTGTATAAGACTCGGCAATACATATTTTTAAGAAAAATAATATTAAATCATAATTTCATATTTATATTTTAATTCAATTTAAAATTACAAGATTTTTTTCCTTTATATTTAATGTTTAATCTCTTCTTCCCTTATGTTGAAATCATAATTTTATATAGCATCAACATAGCACCCCATTTGCTTTGTTTCTCTCTCTCTCTCTTTCTAACATTGTAGTTTAAGACTTCTTTGTGGCTCCTTTTGGTCTTAGATTTAACCCACTAAAGACATAAAGTCCAAATAGTGTATTTAAACATCACTTTAATAATTTTCTTGTCTTAAAAACCATCAATGTGATAAAGATTCATTTGCTTTGGTTCATTTTCAAGTTTTAGTGATTGCTGTTTTAAAATATAATGCTTTTAATTGTAGAAAATATATACATGATCCTAAAATTAGACCTATGAAATATCGTGCCTTTAGAAAGGACTTGCTTCTATCCTTGTCTCTTCCCTTATGTGCTCTTCCTTCTCCATGGAAAACCACTTGTATTAGATTTCATTTACACTTTAAATAAAAAAAGAATGAAAACTACTCTTCCCCCAAAGTAACATATAATATATAATATTCTGTACCCTGTTTTTAATTTTCATTTAAACATATCTTAGAAATCACTACATAGCAGTATATAGAAATCTTCCTTGGTCATTTTTATAGCTGCATAGTATTCTCATTGTTAATTACTGTGCAGTTGGTTCCAACTCCTGGCAACCCTGTAATTGGGATTCTGAGGCTTTAAATCTTTGAGAGAGCCGGAAACCTCATCTTTCTCCCACAAAGCAACTTGCGGGTTCAAACTACCGACCTTGTAGTTCACAGTCCAGTGCTTATGAATGGATAAAATATATTAAAGTAGGTTTTTAAAAATAAATTATGGGTCGTTTGTGTATCCAGTCTTTTGCTATTACTAACAAAACTGAAATAGACAAATGTATTGATAGTTGCTTATCTTTTTGCCCACATACCTTCTATATTCTGTTGCTATTAAGTGCCTTCCAGTCAGTTCCAACAGATAGCGACCCTGTATAGAACTTCCCAGGGGTGGCTGGTGAAGTTGAACCAATGACCTTAAAGGTCAAACTGACCTTGCAGACCAGTACATTAGCCCCCCAGGACCTTTATATAAATTCTAAAAGTGGAGTTATTGGGTCAATTGGTAAAGGCATATGCAGTTTTATTGCATTTGGTCTTGATGTTATAGACAGGAGTGATTGTGAAACTTTAAATATTAGATGAAACATTACAGATGTTGCTGTTATCAAGTGTCATCGAGTCGGTTCTGACCCATAGTGACCTTGTATAGGGTTTCCAAGGAGCAGCTTGACCCGCCGACCTTGCAGTTTAAATGACTTTGCAGTTTGGTGCATTAACCCATAGCACCACACCAGGAGAATACTGCAAAACGTATGATTAAAATACTGCTTAATGCCAGGTTGTTGTTAAGGTCTGTGCGTCAATTCCAGTTCACAGCGACCATGTACAGGGTTTCCAAGGAGCGCCTGGTGAGTTCAAACCACCAACCCTGCTGTTTAAACTGACCTTATGGTCTAGTGTTATTCTACAGTACCACACCGGAACTCCTTAAAGTCAGGAGACACTTTAGTATTCTTTAGAGTGATTTTTGTTTGAAGCACAGTACATGACAAATGCTTTTGTTGTCCTAACTTCTTTAGATTTCAACGAATTTGTGTCCCTCATGTTTTACTAGAGTGTTTAAAGTAGGGCTAAGGAGTTCTGGTAGCGCAGTGGTTACAATCGAGCTGTGAAGCTTAAGGTCAGCAGTTCGAAACTACCAGGTGTTCTGCGAAAGAAAGATGAAGTTTTCTGCTCCCGTAAAGATTTACAGCCTCGGAAACCCTGTACTGGGTCGCTTTGAGTAGGTTCCGACTCCACGGCACATAACCACCACCATCACTACCTTAAAGGAGTCCTGGTGTGGCATTGTAGGTTAATGTGCCAGACTGCAAAGCCTATTGAATTGCAAGGTCAGCTGTTCAAGCTTACCAGCCACTCCCAGGAAACCCTCTACAGGGTCGCTATGGGTCGGAATTGACTCGAGGGCACTTAACAACAACAACTACCTTACAAGTCTAATTGACTATATTGGAGAAATAAAGTAGGGAGGTGCTGTGCTAACTCCCAAAGAAATTTAGCTGCCAAATAGCACACATCTGGGTAAATCTGACCTAAATAGATAGATAGATAGATAGATAGATAGATAGATAGATAGATAGATAGATGATACATAGATAGATAGATAGATAGATAGATAGATAGATAGATAGATAGATAGATAGATAGATAGTAAAATCTGTAAAGTAAGATTTTTTAGGCTTGAATGATACAAGATTACAAGATACTGGTTTCTTTTACTTCTTTTGAATGGTAGGCACTAATTTTCAGAGGTGTTTGATTTTTTTAATAAAGAAATTCCATGACTTGAATTTCACAGAGACCTCTAGAAAGTTGGGCTACAAAAGCATACCCCAGGGGCCCTGAGAGAGCAAGGCCGCTCTAAGAGGGCAAATTGTCAGGCTTGATGCATCAATTGCTAGTGGAGTCCTGGTGTGGAGCTGTGGGTTAATGTGCTGAACTGCATGTCGGTTTGAACCCCAAGGTCGGGGGTTCAAGCTCACCAGCCGCTCCTCGGAAACCGTATACAAGCCGCTATAGGTCCGAACCGACTCGAGGACACTTAACAAAAACAACTAATCATCAATCCGAAGAAGGGGTCCAACCCAAGAAACAAAGATGTGTCGCACGTCTAAACCCCCACCCACCCCCTAAAACCCTTCAGGGACCCTAAAACCCTGCGTCCCCTGATGGAAAACCAGTGTAGAGAGAGACCTGCTAGGGGCCACCCCAAAACAGGAGCAAACTCTGGGTGACCAAGGTGCTCACTCCCTTCCGGAGGCCACATGAGCTCCTGTGATGGCCCTTTTCAGTCTGGAAACGCTCAGCCCTTCTTGGGTTCCCTAGACGGAGGCAGCTCTCAATGGGGAAGTGGGGAATAAGAGGGTGATGGTTAGGGTCCAGTCTCCTGGAGTGGAGGCTGTTGCTCACTCCTGCAGAGCCTTTATTCCCGTGGGTCTAGGTCTCGATCTCTTCACACGGATCACGTTCTCATCTTCAATCTTGCTTGCTCCTAACCGAGAGAGAACTTTAGCCAGCTGTGAGTCATGAAGAGTCAGGCATGCTTAGAGACCCTCTTCCGGGTCCGCAGCCCGGTTAGATTGGAGGGGGAGGGGAAGGGGCTGCAGCCTCTTCTCCCGAATCCGGTCCCTAACCGCCCCCTCCCCCGCCGTCTGCTGGCTTTGTACAGGCAGTCAAAACAGAGCTAGCGGCCAATTGAGGGGGACGGGAAGCAAAGCCGCCTAGCGCCTCGCCCCCTCCAGCCGGCCCCCCAGACCCCTCCTCCCAGCCCCCAGCCCTCCCTCCACCTTCCCACTTCTCTCCTCGCCCTAACCTCGCCCCCATCCCCCGCTCATTTCCTCTTGCACCCGGGCTCGCCAATCGCTCTTGCCAAGCCCTTCTTTCAGCCCCGGTCTTCCTCTCGGGCTTGCCCCCCTTCTCCCCAAACTCCGTTCTCTTCCCTCCCCTCGCCCTGCCCCCCTTCCGTCCTCTTCCCTTCCCCCAGCTCCTCACTACCCTGGTTCCTCCCCACCCAGTCGCCCCTCACTCTGTCCCCGCCCACTCTGCGCCGGCCCCTCGGTCCGGGCTGCGCCCCACGTGTGGACGGCTGCGTCCTGGCCCCCACTGACAGCCGCCGCCCGCCGGCCCGCCCCGCGCCCAGCCCGGCCTCAAAACCCCTGTACCGCGCCCTCGCCCTCCGCATCTTCCCCGGCGTCCAGCTCCCGCCTTCCCTCTCGCTAGCCGCTTGCCCCGGCCCTGCGCACCTCCGCCGGGTTCCGCAGCCGCCACCGGCGCGTCGCTGCCCCGCGGGACTCAGGTCGAGCGGGGAGGAGACCCTTTGCTTTTTAGGGGGCGACTTTTGTTTGCTTGTCTGTTTTTTTCTAGTGATTTTTGCTATTTCCCAAGATCTGTTCCCCGAGCCGCGGCGCACAGGCACTTTTTTTCTCTTGAGGTCCGCTTTCTTTGTAACTTTACGCCGCAGCCACTCGGGTTACTTTAGTAATTTCCCGCCGGCGGTTCTGGAGTCGCTCGGGCCCGTGGCCCGGGGGATGCAACGTGGACCGCGCGGGGCTGCCCGCCGCACCGTCGCCGCGCCCCGCCGCCCGCTGCGCTAGTCTGCGCCTGGCACCCCGCGCACCCAAAACACCAGCGCTCCGCTTAGGGTTTCCGCCAGAGCAGTGATTCCTCGGAGCCAACCAAGGGATAGACCTTGACTTTCCTGGGCCCGCGCAAATTTTGTCTTTCATCAATTTCATCTGCGGGCCTTGGTCCCCGCGCACTCTCTGCGCCCGCAATGGGGAGACGGCGGCGGCTCTGTCTCCAGCCCTACTTCGTGTGGCTGGGCTGTGTGGCGCTCTGGGCGCAGGGCACGACCAGCCAGCCCCAGCCTCCGCCACCCAAGCCGCCCAGGTCTCAGCCGCTGTTGCAACAGGTCCGGCCGGTGGCAGCGGGGTCCGAAGGCGGGTTTGCTGCGCCCGAATACCGAGAGGAGGGAGCCGCGGCGGCCAGCCGCGTCCGCAGGCGTGGACAGCAGGACGTACTTAGAGGGTAGGTAGGCAGACAGTCCCGCGTCCAGGGGCAGCCCGCACGGAGGGAACTCTGGTGTGGCAAGTTTTCATTCCACTCCATTCTGTGTCTGACTAGAGTGTCCTCCACCCCACCCCACCCCCCGCTAGGAGACCCTGAGGACCCCAGGAGCACTTTCCCCTCCTCCTCCTTAGTAGGCATAAAGTTCTCCTTGAGGTGCTGGGGGCCGTGGATTGGAGATCCCTATCTAGGATGCAGCGTGTGTGCAGAGACCATGTGGTGGGGGAACAGGTTCTAAATGCCTTGGGAAGACAGAACTTGGTCCACCAGGTGCTGGGACTCTGCTGTCTAGGATGCCGCTCTGGAGCCTTTTGTTTGAGGTTATGTGCAGGACTGACTTTCAGCTCAGTCTCATCAACTCTCCTCAACCCCAGCGCTCTCCACCTTCCAATGCGCCTTCCTTGATTGCTCTTGACCAAAGTAACAGTTAATCAAGGAGTGGTAGATTGGCTACAAGGCGTGATTTTTAAAGCAGAGAGTTCCTTTGTTCTCTGCATCCGGAGGAGGCTAGAATAGTAGCAAATTATGTATGTTGCCATATCTCTTTTTGCCCTTTAATATGGCTGGCAAGGGAAGACATGATAGGGTATGTTTAAAAGTTTCTCATCCTCTCCTATTCCAGCGTGGAGCCTGCTTGCTCCCACTTCTCCCAATCCCTCCAGAATTTGAAGTGTTTTGGCTGGTTGGCTTGTTGTCCTGAAATCTACTTTATTTTAGCTTTGATTCCTAAAGCCGCTAAGTGCTAATTCACCCCTCCTTATGTCTTTGTGACCCCTCTTGTCTATTGCAGGCCCAACGTTTGTGGTTCCAGATTCCACTCATACTGCTGCCCTGGATGGAAGACACTCCCAGGAGGAAACCAGTGCATTGTCCGTGAGTGCTTGGCCATGTTCGCAATTTAGGACAGCAGGCTGTACCTCTTTTCAAGGCCGGCCTCTTGAATTCAGTTGTTTGGACACACCTTAGTTAGAATCAGGTAGCCCCATAATAGTGATAATAGGACCTCCTCCACCATCTGAATAGTGGGGAGGAAACAGCTGGCTTCTAGACTCTGTTGAAGGGCAATAGTGATAAAAGTTTCAAAGATACTTGAAGTTTTATCTTTCTATGTCTATTAATACAAACTGAGGGGTGAGTAGAAAAAAGTCCCTAGATAACTCAAAGCCAGTTTTTCCTTAAAGAATCCAGATAAGACCACAATGTGATTATGTAAATTATCTGGCTTTTGACTCTGCATGAGGTTTCAGTCTTCTGAGCATGAAGCTTTCTTAGGCCTTCATACAAAACCGCTTTATTATCTTTGGTTTCATCTCAACACCCACATAATATAGATTTTAAAGGCTCACTCTTGCAGATTTATAGTGACACAGGTTAGCAAAATTGTTAAGAAAGCTCTTACAAAATGGCTTGCATTTGGGGGGAGTCATTTAAATGTAGGGTTTCCAAACCCCAAATCTCATAGTGCCCAGTAGATTTCCAAAATGTGAATCTTAGATAGAACTCAAAAAAGGCCACACCTGCACTTCTAGCATTAAGTGTATTTCATTTCGTTTTCAAAACATATACCCTGCTTTCCAATTTCTAATTGGAGAACTCCTTAGTTATATCACCTCACAGAGATGGATTATGGAATGTCTTACTTCCCATGCCTGTGAATTTGTACCACAGCCACATTTGTCTTGGTGGGACGGAGCCAGGTACCATAGGCAGTACATTCTTTTAAACACAATACTGACATTAGAATGACCTTGATGTTCTCAAGAGAAAAGATAATTATGCAACTTTGAACAGAGAAAAAAGGGCAAGCTGAAACCACACTAGTCATATAATAATAAGGATGTAGTGGCATCTCTAACTCTATATTTATTGGTTTTGTGGGTTTGAGATAGACCCTTAATGTTATTTCAGTGTTGTTTAAAAAAAAAAAAAAAGTGCTATATATTTTTTTTAATCCTAAACTCCTCCAATCACCTGTGATGAGGCAAAAAGAGGAAACAACTTTAAACAATTCATAATTTTTAAAGAAGCTCTCAAATTACTAACTTTTGCTTTTTCTAAAAAGAAAAAGAAACAAAAGTGCATTCTTTTCTCTCCAGTACAGAAGTCATGTTCTCTTAATGTGCTTTTATTTATGGAGGGTGAATTTACTCTTCCAGGCCAGTAGGGCATTACTGTGACTGCTTTAAACTTAAATGATTTCCTAGAATCATGAAACAGCTAACTTCACTCACTGCACACCTGCCATGCCAGCCGGGAGTGACTTAGGCGCTGTGGAAAATCTGACTCACTAAGTGTGCAGTAATGAAGGTGACTGCCATTATTGAGTTGGAGAGCAGCCTAGGAGAAGGGATTGGTTTATGGTATGTGTTGAAAATCTGTAAAATCAGATTTTATTGGATGCATGTGGAATGGGAATCCCAGAGAATAGGACCTTCCAGAATATTTCCAGTAGAAATGTATGAATTGCCTTACGAGGATCATCTTTATGTACTTCTGGTCTGTGAGTGATTTTGTGCTTTTTACTTACTTAGATGATTAGCTTTGAAAATCCTTGTGTAACAGTGAAAACTGTAGCTGCATTTCTACTACTAGGAATATTTGAGTGCTTATGAAATACATTGGAATGTACACGTGTCATAAATCTGTAAAAAGCACAAATTTTACAATGATTTTTATACCCCCAAGAGATAATACACCACTTGTGTCAACAGATAGCTATGAAAATATTTATTAGTAATTCATTAAACAGGTAATCCAACTGCCCAAGAGTGTCAAAATAGTACACAAAAGAGAGAAATAATATAATTACTTGATTTCGTCTATGTCATATGTAAATTTTGACATGTAATATTCTGCATTAAAGTCAAGGCTTTCCTGTGATAATGAATTACATTATTTGGTATATGTATTGAATTTATCTGTATTTCATCATTTTAGCAAAAGAAAAACTGTTGAGAAACAACATACAAAAAGACAATAAGTACAATATAAAATGAAGACAAAAGATTACTTTTCTCATACACCCGTACTTCTAATGTTCTTACTACATTGAACCATATTAAAACAATCAACTTCTAGAATTTTAATGTGTTTAACCTTAATCAGGCTTCATGCAGAGAAGAAGATATTTCAGAGAAAACAATTTCTCAAATTCTGCATTGTGATTTCTATTATCTGTGGGTTTTTTTTTTTTTTTTTTTTAATTGTGGCCTGAAAACATCACTGAAATATTACCAAACTTCTAAATATTTGTTTCCAAAAGGATGGGATTGACTTTCTCACTTTACATTTTTTTTTTGTACATTTATTTGTGACTTATTAGAACATGAAGCAATGGAAAAGTTTGTCTATTAATTTCTTTACTGTGAAATTGTGCCCTAAACCACTTTTGATCAGTGGAATGACAAGTGGATGACATTGGCCTAGAATCATAGCATTTGAGACCAGAAGAGATGTCAACATACATTCAGTATAATCCTTTTGTGTTAGCTTACCAATGAGAAAGCTGAACTCAGAGTATGATTTCTTTTATCTCATGGTAGTCCATGGTATAGCAGGATCTGAACCTCAAACCTTTTGAATACCATGAGCTCTTTACTATGCTTCACTGAAGTCCCAACACCTAGGCTCTCTCTCCATCTCCCTCCACTATTTCCACGTCTTGTGATGTTTGTGACTGTGGGGGAGACAGATACTTAGATGAGAGGCACAGCATGAACAGATATGGAGAGGAAGAGTCTATGTGTTTCTCCCTTCTCACTGGTTCATGGATGTACACATCTGTGGCCATGACAGGTAACTGAGGATGATTGATCTTCAGCCCTCCAACCTTCATTGGGTTGAGGATTTTGGTCATTGCCTAAGCCTAGAATAAGAGTCAGTTTGCTTGGAGATGGTGAATGTTTTGACATACATAAAACAGTATTTTAATTGGAACTTATTGGAAACTAATGGAACTCTAGTAGAGTAGTGGGTTGCATTTTACATTGGGCTATTAATCACAGTATCTGGGATTAGAACCCACTAAGGAGCTCTGGTAGCGTAGTGGTTATGAATCGGGCTGCGAACCTTAAGGTCAGTGGTTCGAAACTACCAGTCGCTCCGTGGGAGAAAGATGAGGCTTTCTACTCCCGTAAGGATTTACACCCTCGGAAACCCTGTACAGGGTCGCTATGGGTCAGAACCGACTCGACGGCACTTAACAACAACAACAACCTGCTCTGAGGGAGAAAGATGAAGCTTACTGCTCCCATAGCCTCAAAAACCCTACACAGGGTTGCTGTGAGTAGGAATTGACTCAGCAGAACACAACAACAACAGGAAACTTACTGGAAAATTACTGCTGATCAGAAACTGGTACATTTTAGGAAGTAATAGTTAACTTCACAGTAGGAACCATATTTTTGCCTTTTAATCTTTATACCAGGGAATTTGATACTATTTATACTTATTGGAAATACTAATAAAGGAGACCTGGTGTGGTGTTGTAGGATAAAACACTGGGCCGAAATGTTGGTTTGTTTGAACTATAAGGCTGGTAGTTCCAACCAACCAGCTGCTTCTCGGAAAACCTGTATAGGGTCATTATGAACCAGAACGGATTTGACGGCATTAACACCAAATAAAGACGCTAGCCAGATCATTTGGATGTTAAAAGCAATTTGGAGAGAAAAATAATTACTGATATAGTTTGTTTCTATAGACTGTGCCTATTACATTATTGATGACCCTCCCTAACGGAAGACACACAAACATTTGCATAAGTAATTGGCATCTAGTTTCAAGGCACTGATAAATTGTCCTATCTATCTCTTCATGCATCCTCCTCTCCATCTCCTCATGCATCCATCCATTCATAAAACATTAAAGTACACAGGTTTGGTGAATAAAAGGAGAATTCAATAGTAGGTGTGGCAATAAATCTCTTAGCTCCAAAATGAAATGCCCCTAACTGGGCCAAACTTTCCCAATTATAGGTGCTCACTCGGGTAAAGGTTTTGAGTAAATTTGGTATGTGCTGTGTCAGGGCGCCTAGCATTCTTGACTGTGATGACCCTCATACCTTTGTGTTCATTGTAGGTCATAGCTGCAGGAGGCTTTAAGTCTCCCTCCATCAAAATGTCCTAGTAGCTTTTCTGAATAGCAGAAATCAGCTAGGTTGTAGAGATAATACAGGGGGAGAAAGACTGGAGAAAGGAGAGAGGGAATTATTAAGGAGAACAAAGATTGATGATGGGGCAGGTCAACTACCAGCAGGGAAGGAATGCATGTGGAACCCCTGAGGCTTGGCCAGATATGTTAGAGCCTGGTGTCTTTAGCTCAGCCAATTGCACATTTTCTCTTCCTGTGCAGGTCCTTTACATGATGAGCTATGTTTTCTAAGGCCTGTAGGATTTATGGACTTCCCCAGCCCTCCCAGTTTCCTCAAATAAGTGTCTTGGGGAACTCTGCAGATAAACTCTTCCTTGAATGGCAAAGACTGTCTGTACTTCAAAGGAAGTAAAATAGGACTGTGGACCTTGTAATAGCTTCTTTTGTTTGGACATTATTACATGGATTCTCATGAGAATTACCACCTCAAAAATGGATAATTTCTTATATATCTGAAGTCAGACATTTTATAGCACATGTTTTATATCTTCATGTTCATTGTTTTGGAATGTTGCATTCTTGTTTTATAAACTATGATTTACTACATAATTATTAATTCTATTTCCTATTGTGCATTTTACAGCAATTTGTAGAAATAGTTGTGGAGATGGATTTTGTTCCCGTCCTAACATGTGTACTTGTTCCAGCGGCCAAATATCACCTACCTGTGGATCAAAATCAAGTATGTTTTTTATATGTAACTTCATTTGTTGTGTTTCCTTGATGTAGTTGTTAGGTGTCATCAAGTCAGAGCTGATGCATAACAAGCCTATATGGTCCTGTCCTGATGCTGAACTTGTCTTCATATAGTCCAGAGTCTCAAATTATTTGCTTAGCATACAGATTGAATAAGTATGGCAAAAGAATACAACCTGATGCACAGCTTTCTTGATTTTAAATCATGCAAGTATCCTCTTGTTCTGTTTGAATGACTGCCTCTTGGTCTATGTACAGGTTCCACATGAGCACAATTAAGTGTTCTGGAATTCCCATTCTTTGCAATGTTATCCACAGTTTCTTATGATCGATACAGTTGAATGCTTTTGCGTAGTCAATAAAGCATAAGTAAACATCTTTCTGATATTCTTGGCCTTCAGCCAAAATCTGCCTAACATCAGCAGTGACATCCTTCTTTCTACACCTTTTTCTGACTCCAGCTTGAATTTCTGGTAGCTGTCTGTCAATAATGTATTGTAACCAGTTTTAATTCTCTTCAGCGGAATTTTACTTGCATGTAATATTAATAATATTGTTTAATAAATTGCACATTCTATGAGATGGGCATAAATGAATCTCTTTCTATTGGTTGGTCAGGTAGCTGTCTTACAAACTTATAATAGATTACTGAATACTTCCCAGTGCTGCATTAATTTGTGGAACCATTTCAGTTGGTATCTCATTAAGCCCTGGAGCCTTGTTATTCTGATAATGTCTTCAATGCAGCTTGACCTTCTTCCTTCAATACCTCCAGAAAAAGCTGAATGTTAACCAGTTCTTTCTAGTGCAGTGAAGCTGTGTATTCTTTGCAACTTCTTTTCATATTTCCTGCAGTGTTCAATATTTTGTCCATTGTCGTTGTTGTTAGGTGCCATCGAGTTGATTCCAACTCATGGTGACTTTATGCACAACACGAGGACATGCTGTCTGATCTTACACCATCCTCACAATCATTGTTATGCTTGAGCCCATTGATGACACTGTGCCAGTCTGTCTAGTTCGGGCTCTTCTTTAGTCCTGACCCTCCCACTTTATCTACCATGATAACCTCCTCTAGGAACTGGTCTCTCCTGATAACTATGTTCGAAGTATGAGAGATGAAGTCTTCTCATTCTGGCTTCTAAGGAGCATTCTTGGCTATGCTTTTGCCAACACAGATTTGTTTGTTCTTCTAGCAGTCCATTGTAGTTTTAAGAGTCTTCCCCAACACTGCAGCTCAAATGCATCAGTCGTTTTGTGGTCTTCCTTATCACTGTCCAACTTGCACATGCATATGAAGCTATAGAAATTACAGTGGCTAGGGCTGGTGTACCTTAGTTTTCAACCTGACATCTTTGCTCTTGACCTCTTATTTCTGAAGATGACTTGTGCAGCAGATTTTCCTAATACAATACATATAGTGTGATTTCTTAACTGCTGCTTCTCTGTGTGTAGATAGTGGATACAAGCAAAATGAAGTCTTTAACAACTTTCATCTTTTCCTCATTTTTCATGATGGTATAGTTGTGAAGATTTTTATTTTCTTTACATTGAGTTGCAATCTGTACTGAAGGCTGTGTCTAGGCTTTGATCTTCATCAGTAAGTATTCCAAGTCCTATTTGTTTCTAGAAAGCAAGATTGTGGTATGAGCATATCACAGATTGTTAATGAGTCTTCTTCCAATCCTGATGCCATGTTCTTCTCCATGTAATCCAGCTGCTCTGATTATTTGCTCAGTGTAAAGACTGAATAAGTATGGTGAAAGAATATAAACCTGGCACATACCTTTCCTAATTTTAAGCCATTCAGGGTCCCCTTGTTCTGTTCAAACAGAACTTGATATATATACATGAGCACAGTTAAGTGTCCCTGAAACATTTTCCATAGCTTGTCATGATCCCTACAGTTGAAAGCCTTTGCATAGTCTAATAAGCATAGGTAAACATCTTTCTGGTATTCTCTGTCATTAGTGATAATCTCTCACACCCTCGTCTTAATCTAACTTGAACCTGTGGCAGTTCACTGTCAGTGTACTGTTGAAGTTGTTTTTGAATTATCTTTAGCAAAATTTTACTTGTATGTGATATTACTATTTTTGTCTGATGACTTCCACATTTCGTTGGGTCGCCTCTTTATGGAATGGACCCAATTATGGTTCTCTTCCAATCAGTTGGTCTTTGAAATTTATTGGCATGGATGAGTGAGTGCCAAAAGTGCTGCACCAGGTTGTTGAAAGATTCATACTTCGTACATTCCTGTTATTAATGGTTGTTTACAGCTTCACGAATGATATCTATGCTGTCATCCCACAACTAATCTGGTCTTTGGTGATTAGTATTCTATGAGTAAAATCTGTTCTTCAGATGGCCTCTAAATTCAAGTGAGATACTCAAACTTAAAGTTGTATATTTACTTTCGTGGTCTTCAGCTTAAACCTTAACTTTGGTAAATGCAGTTGATGGTCTGTTCCACAGTTGGTCCCTGACCTAGTTTAGCCTGATGATATTGAGCTTCTTCATTTTGTCTTTCTACCGAAGTAGTCAGTTTGTTTCCTGAGTATTCATCTACTGAGGTCCATTTGTTAGTGGCTGTTGTTTTGTTTTTGAAAAAAGTTCTTTGCAATATAGAAGTCATTGGTCTTTTAGGTTTCTGTCATGTGATCTTCAGTGTCATTTCTATCACCAAGCCATATTTTCTGACTACTGATCCCTCCTCTTTTTTCCAAGTTCTATATTCCAAATCAACAATCATAGAGTTTACTATGCCATATGCTACTATAGCAAATAATAAATTCAAGAGGTTTGGTGTTGCATTCATCCTCAAAATAGACTATTTCAAGATCTTGAAATACAATGTTGTTTTTGGTAAGATAATATCTATATGCCTACCATAAAGACAATTTAATACAACGGTTATTCAAATTCATGCAAAAAACACCAAAGCAAAGGATGAAGACACTGAAAAATTCTGCCAACTTCTTCAAACATGCAACCGTATGATTGTTGATTCAAAATAGCTAATACCTGTTCATTTCCACTCACTAATTAATGCCTAGTGTAGCAATCAATGATTGTGAGACTGGCACAAGACTGGGCAGTGTTTTGCTCAGTTGTACATAGGTTCGTTGTGAGTCCGTACCTACTCTGTGGCATTTAGTAATAACAACAATGCCTAAGATGGAGCCCTACTGTGGTGCTCTGTAGTATAAGCACTGGACTACTAATCACAGGTCAGTGGTTCAAACCCACCAGCAGCTTCTTGGAAATCCTCATGCAGAGTCACTATGAGTTGGAAACAACTTGATGTCACTTAAAAACAACAGCAAATGCTCAGGATAGCAATCTTTGTGTGTTCCATTTCACTTTTGGTAACTTCCAATTTTTCTATATCAATTCTTGGTACAGTCGGCATTCTAATTGTTAATGGATGTTTGTAGCTGTTTCTAATTATTTTCAGGTATTCCTCATTAGCAATTGAAGGTCCCAAACTGTTTGCTTCATCCACATCATCCACTCTGCTTTGAGCAGGCAGCTCTTCCTCAGTCGTACTTTGAATGTCTTCCAACCTAAGGGGTTCATCTTCCGGCAGTATGCCAGACAGTGTTCTGTTGCTATTTATAAAGCTTTAATTGGCTAATCCTTCAGAAGTGAACTGCCTATTCCTTCTTCCTGGTCTAGTCTTAGCTTGGAAGCTCTGCTGAAACTTCATTCTGGTGTTTGAAACACCAGTGGCATAGCTCTGAGCAGCACAGTAACACACAACACAACTGTGATAGAGTCCCTTAGTAAAAACCAAGTATTCTTTTAAGTGAGGAAATCTGGGATCAGTTTTCTCATAAACAGTTATGTGTGCCATTGAGTCTATGATGACTCATAGTGGCCTGTAGCATTTCCTAGACTGTAGGAAAGCTTTTCAGGAGCAGATTGACAGGTCTTTTCTCCCATAGAGCCACAGGTGTGTTTGAAACATGTTTAGCAATTGAGTGCACTATTGTGCTCTTTCCTCATAAACTAGGCCTTTACTAATCTTTGGAGTAATACTCTTTGGTGGATTAGTTGTTGCCTCGCAGACATGGTCCAAGTTTCTCTGCAGTAGATTAGAGATTCAATGGGAGGAGTAATCCTTTGTGAATAGTAGTTGTCACTTATTGGTTGATTACTACATTTTAAGCATTGGGCTGCTAACCACAAGTTGGTGGTTCTAATCCACCAGCTGCTTTGTGGAAGAAAGAGAGAAAGATTCATTGTCTGAGAAACCCTGTAGAGAAGTTCTATATCTATTCATTTGCTATGAGTTGGAATTGACTTTATAGAAGTGGGATGCAACATGCCAGCTACTGTTTTAAGTGTTTAGCTGTGTATTGCTGTATTTAATCTTCAGATCAACATTATGAGGTACTGTTATTACAGGAGGACCTGAGGTACATACTTGCCCAAAGCAATACAGATTTGTTTCTATATTTTTATGACATAACCCTATTTTCAAAACCTCTAATATATATTTTCTTGGTTTAATTACTGTGGCAATTTTTTCCTTTTTTGATTTAAGGGGGAAAGAGAGCAGAATTCAGAATACAGTGAGTTTTACTGAGTATTAACCTCATTACAGATATTTTATACATATTAACTCTTAACAGCTCTGTAACATAGATGTAACCATGGACTAAGAATGTGCTATTCATAGCCCAGTTAGACATTGTTTGGTTTTTATGATCCAAAATTAATCTTTTCAACCGAGTGTTTAAGGTAACATTATAACAATGTAGAAGCAGATGTTATTTATTTAATTGCTTAAAATATACATGTGTGTATCAAATTAGTGTGAAATTGTTACATTTAAAAAATATTTCTCTCTACAAATTTTCCCTAAAAAAAGTAATAGTTGTTGCTGTTGTATAGTGCCATCGAGTTGGTTCCGGCCCATGGTGACTCTGTATAGGGTTTCCGAGAAGCGGTTGGTGAGCTTGAACCACCAACCTTGAGGTT